TGGAATTACAAAATTTAAGTTCTGAAATTTGTAGAATATGCCTAAATTAATGCCAGAGATATTTCAATCAAAGTCTCTCTAGCAGTAATTTAAGCATATTTTGTTCTTTCCAACTATCGAAGAGTTAATTCTTTCAAAGTTTAGTGTTATATAGAAGTTCTCATAAATTTACCGCTTACCACGAACGTTTGAAAAAGTTCTCAACATTGTTAAATCATAGAATTTTTTTCTGCTATAATTGATTTACCGTATAGATGTATTATGCATAGTATATGAAATGATTCTAATAAACGATTCTAACAATAATTGCATATATCTTATCGGATATATGATAATATACAATCGATAAAGAAATGCGCAAAAATCGATTTATAACACAATCCGTTTACTAAAGTATCTCTTAGTATATTTCTGTGAAACTAAAACGAATAGTAGCAATTCGAAATTTCCACTGAATAATTAGCAAGAAATGATGATGCATGCATTTATGCTGCTATGAAATTATTATTCCATTAAATGTCTTTGGCCATTAAATTTTTGGTTGATGATTGTTTGATCATTCAAATAGAAATTCGTTTGTGTAATTAAGAGTAAGCAAAATCATTGCTTCGAAATCTTTCAGATATAGCAAGTTTCAAAGAGAAAGAAAGAATTTCACTTATATCAATATAATTGAAAATTTGCACTTATTTTTAGCAATAATTTAGCAGAACTTTCCTTCTTGTCAAAACAATCAATAGTAATTAATTGATTATAATTTTATTTGATTAGCTATATATCAATAATATTTTCATTTTAATGACAAGAAACGCTCTGTAATGAATAATTTTTTGTTATTGATAACATTTGCAGTTATGAAGTTGTTGTTGAATTGATAGCATGTCATGCTATCATTGTTACTGTTAACAGGAAGTAGTTGACATTTAAATTATTTTATTGTCATAACAACAAGAAGTAAAACTGATATATAAATATCAATTATTTTAAATAATAACGCACTCATTCCTCGTTTTTCGTTTGATTTTATTAAAATCATAAAGTGAAAGAATATTTTTATAATACTGAATTCCTTTCTATTGTTTTCATTTTAATTTACTCCGCACCTTTTTTTTTCAATTTTTCAATACATTATTTAATAATTTTGTTGGTCTGATAAGTAATAAGTGTTTTAGACAGTTTCAGCTAATTTTTTAAATAATTACAGAACATCTGAGTTTTATGGATCACTGTTGACTGAAATATTGTTATCGTACGAATATCTCACAGGTACTTTAATGATGGGAACATTAAACTTATCAACTTTCTATACAGATTCATATTTCCTATATGAATCTGACAAAGACCGAAATATTACTGTAAATTCAACCAACGAAAGAACAAATTTGACAGCACCTTTACACTATCGTATAACTGGATCAAGGAAAAAATCACGTGAATGAGATTTTAAATGAAGTAATCAAACATAACAATAATAATGAGAGAATAATAGTTATTGCAGTGATGGTAGAAGTATTGGTGAAAATGCAGAAAAAGGATTAGAATAGATAGAATAAGAGCACAGCAGCGGTACTAATGAGAAATATTTTAATCAACTCGTAAGCTGCTGGTTCTATTTTAACGACAAGCACACTGTATTCAAAAAGCTGGTCAAATGCTATTAAATGTTATATCTATACGATTAATTTAATGCAACCGTTCAATAGGTAACATATAAATAAACCACTTCAGTATCTGTGGTTTTTCCTCCTCATTGGGAAATGCCGGTAGCACACCGTAGACGAACTTCTCATATAAAGGGCGATCCACCGCAAAATATCGACTCGGCCGTTGGAAGTAACATCCGAAAAACAGAACTGGTAATTGAATGTAGAAAACATAATTCAATACTGCGCAGTGATTCGTCTCATTTCTCATCGGTAACTTTCTTATCTTTCTCTGAAGAAACGAATACGATGTACTGTTTAGAATAGAACTTTCTCAATAAATTCTTCAACTTTGAAAAGATTTTTTTCCCAATAAAATGTTTCATTTGCATTTCTTATTGATTTTCAGTCTTCTCTCCAGTTTTGAAAGAAACAACGAATTAAAAAAACTACTCATAATTTATAACATATACGAGAGATACAAATAAGCACATAAAACAGAATTAAGGAATTATCCCGATGTATATGAGAAGCCGATCATTACTGGGTCGATCATGGGACCTTCTCAATTTGACATGTGGCGGATACTTAGAGGTTACTGCGGATGCATAGATCTGTCATTCTTTCAGTTTCCTGAATATCTATTACTCTTCTTCCGAAGAACCTCATCATTTCATACATATATATGAGTCGTTTGGAATATACAGAATTATCGAGCCGTTCTGAGCAATCAGGAATTTCGGCTATGTCTACGGGTAAGTTGTCATTACTGTAATGACGGCAATCGTCATCACCGGTATCATTCCTTATTAATATTTGAAGTAAGGATAATTAATTTAAAATGAAGCAAAAAAAGTTATGCTGCAACAGATATGTATGGTGGAATAAGGATTCAAAAGACGACAGCAGGTGCATGTCGAAAATGTGGTTATTCCGGGCATCTTCCATTTCAATGTTACAATTTTCTGCAACCTAGCGAAGGAAACTATGCAGATATTTCTTCTACAAGTTCAGAATCCGATTACGAGACGCCACTTACTGCCAAAGGTACGAATGTGGTATTATACTTTATATCCTATAGCTACGACACTTGTAAAGTATGGTATGGGGTTACTTAGAATGAAAACGCTATCGGTGTGTCGATTGTTATTTTCTTAATCTACAAATTATCTATCCTATGAGGTCAGAATACGGATAAAAATAAATTGATTTATATTAAAGGATTTAGCATCCTGCCTCATAAAAAACTCTGGGAGATCTGATATTTGCAGAAAATAAACGAAAGATGAAACGAAAAAGTAAGAAATATCATCACGAATATCATAAAAAATGGAAAAGAAGCCACAACAGTTCGACAAAGCGTGAGATCAAAAAGAAGAAAAGGGAGAAGTACCTTGAGTCATCACCCGTGCGACCGTCAAATTTAAAAACGAAAACCAAAACTAAACGCATTTACAAGAGTTCATAATTCACTAACCAATAATTGATGCATTTGTATTTCTGATGAAAAGTAAACTATTCTACTACGCCTTATATACTCAAGGCTAACGTGAAGAAAGCGACAAGAAATGGAGTGCATTATATGCAGTAGGAAATTCATCTATGGGTAATATGAGATATTTCTGGAGGAATGAAAAGGAGGTCATTATGAGAATAAAGTTAAACACTTGCTTTGCTTATATCGCTACCAGTATTTAAAAATCTTGCAAGCGCGCTACTTCACCTACTTTTGAAAGTTTGGTAGAAGTCGTTCATCAAAGATAAAAGTGAGATTAAAACATCGACTTTTATACCTTTCGAATAGATGTAGATAGAAACCATACGCTTATCCTATTCTTCTTTTTCTTCACGATACTGCTGCTCTGAAAGAACAGCAAACGACAATGCCAGCAGTCATTTGATCAAAATGACAATTCAAAATAATCCGGATGTAGGAAATATTTTGTCTATAGATGTTAAAGATATAATAGAAGTAATTGAATGCATCATATATGCTTCCATAGTTTACGATATATAATCAATAGACAATGATTGATAGTCCGATTAAACATTAGTAACGACCCACCGAAATATTTATAAATATCGGTATATTTAGTAAGATAAGTCTGCTTAAAAATGCGTATTCGCCGAAAAATGGATTCCAAATCTGATTTCATTTCCAGTATTAATTGTTTGCTTTCGGCCAAATCTTTTCGTGCTTTTTCAAGTCTGTTAGCCGATAATCTGCAGCAATTTATTAGCATTTCATTTGTTTTCTCGAAATGTGCCAATCTGAAAATTTACGAATTACTTTTTAGCATACTGTGAGTAAAAGAATTATTGTATTTGTATGCATGACAAGTCGATCATTAAGTTAGAGTTACTCTTAATCCAGTCCCTCCAGCTCCAATCTCTTGATTAACAATGGCAGCTGCTTTCTTGATTACAGCAAATAACTTTAATGAAAGCTTTTGGTCACACATCCTTTGCCAGCTCTTTTGAGCTTTCAACCAAGACCGTATTAAATCTTTAACCTCCGCAAGATTTGAGTTTTTAACATAGAAAAACTGTGAGTAATATTGATAAGCCGTGAAACCTTTCCAATTAATTAAAAAAAGCACATAATATATTCCAAAGTCATCTTTTATCATGCAATAGAAACAAAATTATATGCAAAATGCCCGTATTTCATATTTCAATATTGACACAAAGTAGATATTCTATTTTACGGTTTACAGGATGATTTTTCGATAAGTGTATAATTAAATGTAAGAAGTGTTGATAATGCTGGTGCGTACTTTTATATTATATAAAAAGGAATCTTACGATTTCTTCTGTAACTGTATGATTTTAGTGATGGCTTCATCGTCAACTTGCGATATAAGCGCCTCTACCAAATGTTCCTCATTGTCCTCCGCTGATGTAGAAGCGAAGGTATCAGTCATAAATACACCTGCATAACATATTCACTTCATTTTTGCTTATTGTTATCGTAGTATATACTCTCTCCGATATGAAACGGATGTGAAACAGGGAAAAATCGATAGACCGGACTCACCAGAACAACTATTCATCACTAAAAGTCTCTAAGATACCTTAGACTCCAACCACCACACTAACTAATCCCCTACAGATTTCATACTACCAGCTATTACGACAAAACACTAACTGCCATCCCTTTCACCCATCTCGTTTAAATTGATATGGATGCATTGGTATTTGACGGCACCTAATGTGCGGTGGTAAAACGTTGTGTGTTGAGTAATATTGCTGAAATATACGATGCTTATAAGTAATTTAGTTGCTGGGAATTTGGTTGCTCATTGATTAGTTGCTCCTTGATTAGAGGAAAAGTTTTAAATTAATTGTATGATTCTGCGCTATCAAGAATGTTGTAGTGGAATTTTTGGATTAATTCAGCTAGAAATGCGGTTTTCCGGAAAGTTAAGCAAATCTGGGGTAGCTCGATTGGTGTTTCCATTCTTTCGACAGTTTTAGATGCTCCAATTTAAATTTATTAGATGATTCGATTTGTTGGTAAATCACTAAAGAAGTCTCATTCGATGAAATAGTTCGTTTTCATGTTTCCATGTTTTCAAATGTTTCTATTATTTTCAGATGTCTCGATTTCCCATTAAGCGGATGTTAGCTGTGTGGATTTGGCCTGTATTTGCCGCGACATTTATAATATCAGATTGGTATGCCATGAAAAGTTTAAGGGCAAGCGGGCATACGACTATTCTTGACACAATGCGTGACGAGAATACTACTACCTGTGAAATAAATTAGGTTTGATATTTCATCTGTTCAGGTTGTACATTTCAGGTCATTTTCTCATCCATCCAAACAATCAATCATTTATTAATGGGAACATTTACGCTGAAATATTTTTTCAAGAAAGCAATTTGGGAGAAGAAGACTTTGTGGGCATCGGCAGCTGTAATGGCATATCTCGGTGAGCCCGCTCTTCCCGCAGTTTGATTTTATCCACCATCGAGTTTGATTACTCATTTATTTACTTTCGAGATGTTTTTGTGTTTACTTCAAATCGGTGCTTATGTCTTAATTTCTTAATTATTTCTAAACTGAAGCAGTTTATCTTTTCGACTTTTCAATTGTCGGAATTCTTGTGATACTTTTTAGCAGACGTTCTTGCCCCTCGCGAGTTTCTTTTTTCCAGCCGGTGAAAGTAGTCTCCATCACATAGTTCTCTAAAGCCACATTGCTATTTGTCTATATCACTTTAGTATTTGGGCAGACAAACGACGTAGTACTTTAAAAAAGAGAATAAAATGTTTTCTCATGCCACTTCCAACAAATTGAACTGTGTAAATTTTCGGGCTTTTTGATGGAGATGCCAATGATATTGCATCCCTCACAATAAGAGAATTTCCCTGCTGAATTTATCAGAGAGGAAAATAAGAAATTTTTTCTGTGGAGAGAAAGTTAGGCATTTCATCTGAGTAGGTGAGCCTGCTTCCATTGCTTCTCTCCCTTTCTCGTTCTTCTCTCATATACGTGACAGTGGAGACATTTAATATGTAGAAGTCATTTGTTCATCTATTCAAGCTTAGCCAGTTTCCAGACATAAATAGACTTTGAATTAGTTTGAAATTGAAGATTCCGACTTGATGCGATACAAAGCTGAAGTGTAAACAGTAGGAAACAACGGTAATTGCCATCAAATTGATTAGAAAACTATATTTCAGGTTACTGCTACGATCGGCAAGGTATGTACAAAGCAAGCATGATGAAAGGACAAAGCAAAATGTTTGCCGATCGAATTGCAGAAATACCAGAGGGTCAGGACATCTGGAAGTATTAATTATTCTTGTCTATAGTGTCCAGATCATGCTTTTGCATCGTAGAATTTGTCACCAACCATCTGATAGTATTGTTCTTTTCTTGACCTTATAGTTCGCATATTCCAGAGCAAAGTTAACTATATGGAATGACTGTAAACATTAAAACAATTCTGCTGTATCAGCAAGCCTCTACATTTTATGCTTCTACTAATAGAGCAACAGAAATGGAGTGTTTTCAATCGTTGTAGTCATTGAAAATAATGCATATTATTTTTGCGGAAGTACAGCTTCTGGATCACAGGAATCCTCACTACCGCCCCCCGTGACAGTGCAGTATCTCGAACTTTGATGAGCTCACAAGAAATCACTCAATAGCTGCATTTTCTGAAGACCTGTTATAGTCGGATTCAGGCTTCCATAAGCGCTTTCTGTACTGGCAGATTATTTTTCTTCTCTCTTCTCACGTACAAAGCGACCCAGAGAGGATGATAGCTGCGTTTAGCTTACCGTTTATTTTGGTACGAAACGGTTCCGCAATACAATGACGAATCAAATAACGTTTGCTGTAAAACGAGCAAAAAAACAGAAAAGGGAAAAAAGAACTGGGAGTAATAATTCAATGATAATATACAATAAAGCGACAAAAACATGTACTTCGATTTCGAAGTACTGCCTGGTATTGGTGTAATTTCATTAGCTAGTCTACTACTGCTGGGTCTTTATGTCCTCTGCTATCCCCTATACCCTAGTACCTTCCATTGAGATAGGAGCCATGCATTAAACAGTCTCCCTGAAGATGAAATTATTTACTTTTTCTCCTCCTCAGAGCCCACTATACAAGTGGACTCAGATAAAAAAAGTGATACCACATATCTGAGGGAAGAAGGAAGTTGTCTCCTTTCAGTTTGTAACCGTACCCCTAAGTTTCCTACAGCAACAAATATGTCCAAGCTCATTAAGAATAATTAGTGAAAATATAAACAATATATGACAAAAATATCTCTTAAACAAAAGAACTTAGGGTGGACACGCAATATCAGTCAGTGGATGACAAACACTTTTTATACAGATTATATAATTAGCCAAAACTATTCACAAAGTGACCGTGAGACCTGAATGACCTGCTCTACGGGATGTCATCGTCATCATCAATTAGGCTCACGTCTTTGCCACATCCTGGACAATCGGCGTAGCACGATGCGTCAAGTAACTCCTTGTAAGCTTTACTACTACGCCACAGATGATACTCACAATCGCGCCATCGGTTCCATGTGCCTATCACACGTAATTGTGGTAGTCGACGCAGAAGAGCCTCCAGAACAACTGGAAATAATGCTTATGTTATCTGCACCATTAATATATCCATACCTAATAATAAAGGATGTCGGGGACCGGAAGAAAGTTTCGGTGAAAGAAACTTCGAAAACTAGAAATTTCGCACCCATTAACGGACAAATATTTAAATATGAAGGCAATGTTTTGTGAAAAAAAGTCCCATTACTATGTTTTCTCACTACCAACTATGTTCAGCCGTAATCTTACATTACGATGAATACATTGAATACATTCTATTCATACATATCTAGAAAGAAGTGAAAACTCACTACCGCTCTGATGGTCTCTGTTGCCACCCAAAATGACGGCCTCGATATAAGGCATAGCTTCACGATTAGCCAGTAATTCATAGGCTTGCTTTGTAACTGGACCCGAATGGCATACCGCTATCTTGGTCAACATTCGGAACTCCATCAAAGCTTTCATTATGCCCTCTGATGTTACTGATCGCAAGTCACGCACATACAATGTATCCAAACGAGGACAACGCTGTAAACTTTGTCTATTTTATTTTGTTCAAACATGTACTGAAATGGTGAGTAAGCAAAAAAAAGTCTTATTGTTGGACTCCTGGATAGTCTCAAAAATTCTGTAGCTTACGCTATATGATTCTCGAAAAGGTGTCCTCAACTTGAATTATACTCGTCAACACATAAAAAAGAACTATATTTCATAGCTCGAAAACTTTAGAGTAGCCGTGACTTTAAAGAGAAGTAAAGAAGAGTACCTGAGCAATAAGGCCGAAATGATCGTCTTGCAACTGGTGGACGTGATGAAGTGCGAAAGTGCTCAGATTGGTAGGTAACGATTCGCAGAAAGCCTTCAATTCATCTGTTCGAATATTTCTTAATAAATTGATTACCGAAAACTCGGTGATCTGTGATAATTGGGCGATGGAACGCAACATCACCTTCCAAAGATCCATGCAGCCATAATTGATCGGGAAGCCGAATAGACGAAGAACTCGCAACTGTGACATCTGAGGTAAACCTGAAATAGCTAACCTAAATAAATTGATTAGGGATGAAGCATAGATCCCATTTTTATTCACCCTTGAGAGATGCAAAAAAACTCTACAATATTCTAATTACACGGTGAAATGCATAGGCCTCGCAAATTTTAGCATTCTTTATCGTAAGAAGGCCTAATAATACTAATCAATGTGTTACTGCAACCAAATATAGTGATTCAGTACGACTCAACAAAATTGCCATCTACTTTGCATACCACATAGCTTGAAACACTTGTCATGAGAAACTAATCTAACAATATCTCATTATAACAACATTATAATGTCGTCAGTAATAAAGAATAAAAAAAAGAATTACGAGCAAAAAATTGGTCATAGGTCCGCATATTCTTTCGCAAAGGCCCTAAATCCAATTCCACCGTGGTTATTTGCCGGAATTCAGGTAATAAAGAAATAACATTCATTAGTATTCGGAAGCCAGGTTGGCAAACAAAACGTGAGAAGCAAGCACAAACATGCAATTTGTTGGCCAACTTAGATACTTCCTACAAAGCAAAATATTTAACATTATGAGTGAAAAATTCGTCTTTTTTAGTTCATTTAGGTTCTTGACTAAAGCATATCTTTAATGGATGTGTTATTTGATAGAAGAGTACCTTAAACAACTGACGCGCCTGGTCCACAGTTCGAAATGTTCGATGATCGATAGCTATGTAAAGGATGTCAAGCTTGTTGGGGAGCCGTCGAAGTCGTCCTCCTATATTCATAATAGTTTTCCCGCTGCAGTCAGAAAGATATAATTTTCTGACGCTTCCGGAAATTATCGACTGGAATAATCAACATCATCACCTAAGACTTATTTAAATAATCGCTTGAACATATTTATTTACACAATTTTCAACTCATGCTCTGGGATGCCACTTCATTCATTCTAAATAGAACAACATCTAAAGCACAACAAACAAACTTAACCATCATGCATATATAGTTTTTTAGTGCAAATTTTATTATTCAAAACCTATGCGATTTCGCGCATTTTTCCGAGAATAAAATAGAGAGGGAAAGAAAACTTACTACAAAATTGTCGATATCTTCGGCATGATCGAACCAGATACTATGGAAGCAAAGACTTAAAATTCGATTGGTAAGAACACATTCGCTGCTGCTCCCTGAAACAATAAAATCTATTACGCGGAGCAAGAATAAATGTTCTACGAAATGGGAGCTTTGAAAAGAACTCACAATACTCGATCACAGAAGACATCAGACAAAGATTGCGAAGAACCAGAGATTCCACATTTTTCAATCGGTCGAACTCATCACACAAATCTCGACTTAATACAAGCTGCAAATAATCGATAAATTGTAATGATACACATCAATGTTATTCGTAAAAGTTCCTCCATGTACACCAGGTGGCTGAAACAGACTGCTTTAACTATAACCTTTCACATGCAATGTAAATATTAACAAACAAACAAAAATGAATTTACAAAACAAACAAAGTAAAATAAATCTTAATTGAAAAATTATTACAAATTTAATTTCATATAACTTTATCTGACTACAAAATAATATTTTTTTATTGTTTTAATGGATGCCTCGTAGTCTTTATGAATACCCTTCCCTATTCTTAACAAAGTTGTGACGATAACTTATGATAGATGGGCACCACTTGCCTTTATCAGAAAAGACAAACTTTTGAAAATGCTTGAACATCTCTAAAGTCCCTCCAATGTGATTATCGAATACTGAAAAATGATAACAAATGCAAACCACATAGTTCCACTAAAACTGGAAGTATGTTACTGATCGACTCAAGAAACTATTCTACTATTTACACAAATTCATTGCCCATTCATTTGTTACATCAACCTTCAGCAATATTGCATTTCATTGGATGAAAGTACAAATTAGAAGTGCTGCGAAGAACTCATTTTCCATTTTGATAATCAGTTGTGTAAGTTAACAATGTTATTGAACAGTTTCTGTGCTTAGTCGGAAGTAGAATTTGAAATCAATAATAGTGGTTGCAGAAAAAATAAGTACTGTTCAAATTCATACTTGATGATCAGGTATGTATCCTAGTCGACGCTCAAAATCCGAAATGCCACCAATATGCAGACGATAAATTTGTCGTGAGAAACGTTTAATAATGTGTTGCATTTTGCGGATGCAAACATTGGATTGAGAAATCGGATTGTCAGGACAGGTACGTCGAACACTGGATGTTAATGCCGTCATTTTGAAATCATTACCAGCAATGTTTACGCTCATCATCGGTTCGACCCTCTGGAGAACTAATAAATTAGATAAATTTCTCTCCTCAAAAACTTGTAGAAATTGACAAAAAAATGAAGACGTAACAACAATAATCTAATAGAAAAAGAGAAGCCTAGTTCAAAGAGTCAGCGCTTCATCTTATCAAGAATAAGAGCACTGTAAATTTGACAGAAGTCATGTTCATCTGAATTTCTATAAATTTTAGAATACAACATAAGAATATACCGTAAAATATATATCCAAAGTACTGTTATCGTTATTATAGCTAATATAAGGAACACGCGAACTCAGGTCGTTCATAGTTATGCTAACAAGTTCCAAATTCTGTCGATCTTTAACATCATTCACATAACTGACCACCTTGCGCATAATGACGTCATTATAGTACACTTGCTTTCCTACTTCCCATTTATCCATCGAAACTGCAACATTAACAAGTTTGATGAATCCGCACAGCAGGAAGCGACGTTATTATTCAACAATGTCATCATTCTGGTATCCGAAAATATATCCTCTTCAGCACCTAAACCAAACCTATTTTTATTCGCATCATTCCCACTTGCCCAACAATGTCCAAGATGTCCAAGAAATGTCCAAGAAGCTAAGCTAATGTCCAAGAAGTTTAGTCTTATAACTTGAATCGCTAAGCAAAATTCCTTTTAAAGGCCCCAAGCATTAAATTCCTTAGTTTATTAATAGAAAAAAGTTGAAGTAAATGAAATATACCACTATCGCCTGTTAAATCGCATCCATCACAATCCTGCTGCACGTCTTCCTCTTTTTCAGCGTCTGCCATCATTAATCACAAGATTTCACAAAAATAAAGATTAAAAATATTGCTAATCAAACCCTGAAACGAAAAAAAGCACATCAAATAATCTCGCTATGATTTGCCACTAAATCATTAGAAAAAACGGTATCTCACTCGTTCAACTATCTTTTGAAAAATCCAATTTCTCAAAACGATGAATAAAGAAATAGTGGGATAAGAAATTTGGCCTGTATGATCAGTCAACTGGACGCTGTCATGTGATCTACCAAACGCACAATCATCATGGGCTGCTCTGTACTCACACGATATTGAACGAAAATCAACTAGCAGAAAAAAAATGGTGAATGAATGAATTTCAATTCTTTCGCTAAAGTTGACGACAATGAAAAGTTTAAACGTTCAGGAAGACAACACACAGATTCAGTGTATGGGATCATGTGAATCAGAATGACAGATGATGCCAATTGCAGATGAGATTTGAAAAAAGATAATCGAATGCATAACACTATCAATAAGAAAGTTAAATCTGGACAACGAGGAGAAAATTAATGGAAAAAAGATCAAACACTGCTTTAGAAAGGGTAAGGAACGGAAGATGGAAAAGTATGATTAAACTGCTGTGCGCGTGACTAAGCTGGAACAAGATAGTGATGGAATAAGCCATGTGATGGGATAGGCTACTGTCAAACGATGACGAAACATAAAGGTCAAATATTGGAACATCGAATGTTGAACAATACCTATCAGGAAATGTTTTGACAATGCTAATCCATGCAAAGCGAACATATACAGCAAAAATAAGACGAATCCACTAAACCAGATCGCAAATTAGAAAATGAAATATATGAAACAATTACACGGATTGCGGGTAAGAACGCAATACCTAGCAAGCCGGATACAACACCGAAGCACTGTATCGACTTTCAGAACATCCACACACACTACGGAACGCAACAACACCCCAATAATGTCAATTTGAATACTAACGGTTCAGTTCCGTTCCCGCTTGTTTTATATTTGACACGGCCTTACGTTCATTTGGGATGAAAATTTCTAATTCCAAAAGATTTCAAGATAAAATATCCGCAGGAAAGAAAGGTGAGTGTAAGAGAGTGATAATGGAGTGAAGATGAGGATAACATTAGATCTAATAATAAAAATCTATGCTACATGATGAAATAGTTAAACGGTGAGCCTATTAATCATCAATGATACAAATATACTTTTTAATCATCATCCTTAAAATGAAATCTTGGCCAGTAATACATACCTATAAAGTTTAACTAAATTGTATGAGATATTTTCAACTTTGCAGATTATCTGCTTACGCTGATTTAATTTCTTCAATTAAAAATATTTATTATTTGTTGAGGATAGTTTCGAATTTCGACGATCACAATTGAAGCAGAAATAGAGATTTATTTTTCCTCAAGAAAATATTATCCATTTTAGTCATTGAAAAACTCCCATTCTTATAAACAAATTATTCTCCTTTTTTCTTTCGATTTGAATTGAAATATATTTTGCTTGCAAATATTGGTTCTCTTATTGTTGGGTAATTAGAAATAAAATTTAATTTACTAATTACTATCGAATTGAAATATATTTTGCTTGCAAATATTGGTTCTCTTATTGTTGGGTAATTAGAAATAAAATTTAATTTACTAATTACTATCATAATGAAGATAGGGCATTTAGCGGTAGTGAATTCTCCTCATTTGATGATAATAAATTGTATCATACTTTTATTTCTAACCATCGTTCTATTCAGCGTATTTTTAATCTATGAGATAAATTTTGGAAAGAACAGGAGAAGATATCGATTATATGGTAATTTATTATTGATATTTTCTTTCTTTCTTATCATTAAGAAAACACGTGGAATGATAATATTGTGAATAATATAATACGAATATCTGCATAATTACCTAGCAAAAATAATCGATTATGTACGAAGATATCAGTAATTTCTGGATTTTGGATATGATTAATCTACGATAAGCCATTTCTCTCATCTTTCCTCTCTCTTCCTCCTTTATCTCCTAAACATTTAGGGGCAAAGTTTATTCTTCTTTTCAAGAATTCTTGAAAGTCTATTTCTTACTTAGAAATATAACATGAAGACTTGTAAGATATTATTATTAGATGCACAAATAGAAGCAAAATAATAAATTTGATGATTAATTTGATGCCAGTATTGAATAAACCAGATCATCTGAATATTACCGGGAGAAAATATTCAATCGTTATTCATAGGGTTGTAATATTATCATAACTATTTATATAAGCTGTTGAAAAAAAAGCTTATGATAATAGCTGTCAGTTCAATTACATTAAATAATTTTGTTAGTTGGATTACCGATTTTTTTCGAAGAATTAAATCCGCAATGATGTGAATCATCGACTTCAATGTTGGGTAATCGTGTAACGCTACGAAGTTTCTTCATTGAAGCTAATTCGAAAGGTCAAGTTAAGTGTAAACTTTACTTTATGAAGATTAATTTTTCTAGTTGGACTGAAAATATCCTTCAAAATATTGAAGCCTGATGTTGCTTCTGAAGTAATATATTGCCTCTATTGTATACTATCTCTAGAATTTATCATTTTTCAACGCGTCAAAATTGAACCTTTTCGAAATTATTCAATCTAATGTACGAATTATTTTGGTATGCGACGGAAACAGTTGCTGAAGTGAGTTGTGGCCTAGAAAGACGATTGAAACTTGAGAAAGGCGTCATTCATCCGCTGGCATATTATTTTTCATCCATTTTTTGAGATTTCAAACTTTTCCTTTCGAATGTTCGTTTTGTTTTAGAGTACCGTGCATCTGCGCTGTACATTAAATAAATCTGGAACAGGCGGTGGTTACTGATTGTTAGCGATGGTAGTGTGATAATTTTCGACCAGGTTGTGCTTATGGTAAACCAACATTTCACATATGCGAATTACCTAATCTGATTGATCGTAGGCTACGTATTAATGTCACCAGAAACTCTCGATTCTTCAGACATAATGATACGTTGATTGTTAAATATCACTTATTTTAATATCTTCAATTTCACAGCATAATTAGAATGAATTTGCAACACTAAACTATTTTTCTCTATAATTACCATTCGTTTTTCTTACACAAGAAATTTGATTTCATCGAGAGAATCCTTTGACATTCTGCACTCATTATGATAATTAATATCTTATTGATAAGTAGAAATTGATTTTATCAAAAATAATCGAACAAAATTATCAGTTATAGGTGTTTTGATTTTGAATAACTTTAATCCTTCATGAAAAGTTTAACGAAGTTTATTAACGGTCCAGCTTATATGGCTGTTAAATGTAATTAAAAGATTATTATTGGTTTTTCTTGCTTAGCAAATTTGATTTTGTCGCGAAAAATTGACTTATAAAATATTCAATCGAATTTAACAATTCGTTAATAATGCGATTTCGAATTCATTTATGGCTTAATGTTAATTTATTGAATAAATTTGAAGTGAAATTACAGATGTGAAGAGCATATTTTTAGCACTATTGAATTTTAATATTAATGAAATTCAGATGCAAAACATTTAGCTGTAACTTAGATACTGGAGAAATATTAAGGAATGCTATGAAGAATTATTATGAGGACAATTCAGAAGATGCCACCTTGGCAGCTTTATAATAGTTACAATAATTAAACCGTTAATTGATCTTCAAATTTAAATTTATCAATTTTGCGGTAGTTTTAATTTAGCAATTATTTAAATGTTATCGTTTCTGTCGCACAAACTGATATTCATTTATTCTTCCTTAAATATAGCAAAATCATCTAAGAAAAGAAATTTGCATTTTCTTATCAAACTTTTTCTTAAGTGATAAAGCTATAGGCTCTGATAAGCTGCATGATAAAGAGGTTTAGGAATCAAAATTTGAAGATAATTGATTAATCCATACGTAAAATTATCTACTAATTAATGACTGTGTAATTTGAATCAAAACTTATCATTCTATGAATTTGTGCATAATTAAAATAATAATTTGAGTAATCTTTCAGAGTTGAAGTTTTATGCAAAATAAATTCAAAATAATTTTACAGTAGACAAATTAAAATTGATTATTTGAAAATGTATACAAATAATATTGATGAGGATAGGATACTGTAATAGTAATTTAAGGCTTTTCATCCAAACGAAATATTGCAACTAAATTTTATTTGCTGCTAACTGTTTATTATTAGGAGAGGGAAATTTTCGATTTTCCTATTTTAGATTAGATTTTTCTATTTTTCCTTGGAAAAAATTCAAATGAAATAGTTTGAATTTAAATATATCACTGCAAATATGTTCATCGTCAATTTAATACATTTTATCATTGTATAATTTAAATATTGTAGGGATAATTATGATTTAATTTGTTTGCTTATTTGATAATAAATATTCTTCTATACCTAAACATCTATTCCATAAATCGCATATATCCATAATCTTTTCCCTATTCCAGCAGTTAAAATTTCAACTATGATTTTGTAATATATTTGCGCTTCTTTCAACTTAATAATATTCCTTATCGGAGTAAGTAAAACTTTCAAATTATTCTCAGTAGTTAAATTATTCCAAACTTTCAGATTATTCTCAGTAGTATTCCTATTTAGCAAACACTAATTTCATGCACAATCCCGAGATATTCCATCTCACTATTTCACTTTCCTTTCTTTATCAATACACATTACACATTATCCAATAACAGTTTTTGTTGTTGTTACAGAACTAGACTAAATCTTAGACTCGAAATTATTCGATTAAATCTTAGTCTCTCTTGTTGTTGTTACAGAACTAGACTAGATCTTAGACTCGAAATTACTAGACTAAATCTTAGTCTCTCTTGTTGTTGTTACAGAACTAGATTAGATCTTAGAGTCGAAATTAACTGGACTAGACTAAATCTTTTCAAATCAAACAACTGTTAGTAAATTTCTGAACAAAATTTTGATCAAATCAAAAAAATGTTCAAAAAGAAAATCAAAGAAGAAATGAACTTTCGTTTGG